TGGGCATGGTATACGTAGATGTCATGTGTACATGCTAACAAAAACGAAAATGTACAGGTGTGTCACTTCCTGTCACCAAAATAAATACAATTATCACAATTAATAAAACTAATTGCACACATAAACCCTCAGCCAGAAGCCACTAACTCCATGGCTGTCAGTATAAATATCTTCATGTATGTTACTGTGAAAATGAGGGCAACCGTGTTCATGTTAAAGACCTATAACTGAATCATTGGGACCCTTATATACTTCTTGAACGCCCCAGACTTCCATCTACCCATTATCTGTATTTGACCTTCACCTATACCTTGGGTAGCTGCTGTGGTTGCAGCACCAATCCGGAAGCTATGGGATTTATAAATGTGCTCATGAAGGACTGCCCACTTCAGAGATGACTTAAGCTGCTTTGTGAAGAAACTACGTGAAATTGGTGACCCATTCATAAATGAAAATAAGGGCTGATCTATGCAATCATGTTTCCTAGTAGTCAGATACTGTTGGAGAGCCAACACAGGACAGTATTGGGAATTTGCTGTATTTGCTGAAATAGAGTGGGTGCTAGATGGCTGCACATTATGTTTGAAATGAGCAAAAACGATTTCAACTGCCTGTGGAGACTCTGATTCCCCTTTTACTAACACATGCTTCCGTAGTAAAAAATGTTGATTTTTGTGCCTGTTGAGGTCATTTCACCTACTCTCAGAAAGGCATGGAAAGCTAAAAGGAACATACCCTTGAGCGTTACTCGGAGGAAATACGAGGGAACCGAGTCCCTCAGAGAATCAACCAACTTATAGAGTACTGAAGGAGTAATAGGAAGGCGGGAATCTTGGGTGTGTTTTAATTTTTGGAACCCCTGTAATGTTTTCCTAATGATGAAATGTTGAGTGATACCCTCAAAGTTACCCATTTTGAAGATGTAACCTAAAGCAGACACATATGTAGTGACTGTAGCTGCAGCTAACCCTGTTTGATAACAATGGGCAATGAACAATGACAAGTGTTGTACATTTGGCGGTAAAGCTTTAAGCTTTGAATCCACATGTTGGTGGAGAAACCTAGCATACAGCTGAAATGCGTTCTGATAGGAAGCAGCAGAAGACTGTGACAATGCACTGGGTAGCAACAAACCCGCTGTTTGGTTTAGAGAGTCAATAGATGAGGTGGGATTGGCGTTACTTCGTTGTCCATGTGCGGAAACTGTCTGAAAAATTGCTCCATCTGCAAACGAGAAAGATGATCAGCTGCTATGTTATGTAGACCTGGTACATGGACAGCTTGAAACAGAATATTGTACCTCAGCACATTAACCATGAACCTACGCATGAGTTTCATGAGTGGTGGGCTTTTGGATGTGTGTTTGTTAATGATGTGCACCACTGCCATATTATCAGAGAAGAATTGAATGCGTTTGTTCTTCAACTGCTGATGCCAAATTTCAATTGCAAGCACAATTGGTAAGAATTCCCGTACAGTAATAAGATAGGTAAGCCATTCAGGTGAGAAATCATGACAGAACCAATGAGTTCCGAAAAATCCCCCCATACCCAAATTGCTAGCATCTGTGTACATCTCTAGAGAATCTGATGTAACAAATTGTGTAGGAAGAAAAAGAGCTCGTCCATTAAAATTCTTGATGAATAAAAGCCAAGCAGCAATGTCGGCTCGAGCATCAAGGTTCAGCCGTCTGTAGTGCTGAGGATTAGATAGCCCTATCGTGAGATCTATCAGACGTCGTAGAAATGTACGACCTGAAATGACTACTGAACAAGCAAAATTCAGAAGGCCAATAAGGGATTGAAGTTGATGAAGCGTCACCTTTCTCCGATTGGACATAGCAAGTAGCTCTCTTTTTAGCTTAACCAACTTATCCTGAGGCAACCTTATTTCCATGGAATCTGAATCTAGTTCCAAACCGAGAAATGTCAAGACTGTTGTTGGAGCAACTGTCTTATCCTCTTCGAGAGGTACCCCTAAAGATGCGGCTACCTCACAAAATGTGAACAGGCCGTGTTTGCATTCATTTGTGTTTGGGCGTCCTAAAAACAGGAAATCATCTAGAATGTGAACACAACCTTTGACCTCAAATCTTTTGTTTAGGATCCAATGAATAGAAGTACTAAACTTTTCAAATAATTGACAGGAATAACTCAAACCCATGGGTAAGGTACGATCATAGTAAAACTGGTTACCAACCGTAAAACCTAACAACTCATAATCTTCAGGATGAATGGGAACAATTTTGTATGCATGTTCAATATCCGTTTTTGGCATTAATATGCCAGCTCCAAACTGTAGAATATACTGAATTGCATCATCGATGATATGAAACGGACCTATACTCTGGTGGAATACCATCATTAATTGAACTACCTGGTGGGTATGACAAATGGTGTATTACTCTGTATTCATTGGATGCCTTTTTTGGAACCAAACCTAATGGGGATACTTGTAAATCTGGCATTGGTAATTTGTCAAAAGGCCCCCCCCCC